TTCTTCCGAAACGGAAAGTTGTTGAAGGATTTCGGTGCGCGCGCGACGACGCGCGCGCGAACTTCGGCTGATTTTGCGCGATGGATTCTCGCGACGGCGCGCGCGCGAGGGCGTTCCAGCGATTTCGGCGCGCGCGCGCGCGAAGCCCGCGTGGTAGCACTTTATTAAAAATTATTGAAAACCTTGGGGTTTCTCAAAATTTAGCTAGAGCGCGCGCGTAAGCTTCTGTGTTCGTTTTGAAAAGCTGCGTTGCGAAACCGCTTGTTTTATGGTTTGGCGGGAGTGCTCGATTTTGAAATCCTTCCGAGGCCGACGGTTTTCGATGGATTTTGGCATGCGCGCGCGACGACGCGCTCGCGCGCATCTCGCCCCATCTGTTGCAAGGGGTTTTGAACGAACATATGATGTTGATTCGCGAGCGCGCGCGCATTTTTTGCTGGGGATGGCGGGGCGGGGGCGATGCCGGCCCCCCTGGGCGAGTTGAATTCATATTTAGGATGGGCGACGTGGCAGAATCACGCGTAACTTGCAGCGCGAAAAGGCGAGCGCCCATGAAGCCCAGGGGCGAGGGGGGCGGCGGGGGAAGAACCATTGTCCAAAGAAGAAACAAAGAATCTGCGCCGTGCAACATATGTAGCGGGATGTTTCTGTCGCGAAATTCACGCGGAGCAATTGATGTCTGATCGCGGTGAGTTGCCCGCCCCGCTGCCGGCGCAAACGTCCCGCCCGCGCGCCCGCAACTTGGTTTGCAAACCTCATGCGGTGGCGACTGCGATGAGTGCTTGGCGCTGGCCAGTGCATCTGCGGCCGCGCCTGCCCGCGCATGCGCGCGCGCAGCGGCCAGGTTGCGCGGCGCGACCGACGCGGCCGCGGCGGCGCTGACCGCTCGGCGCACCCCGGCGGGCACCTGAGTGCGAGTCGGCGATTTGGGCGGGCGCGGCGCCATGGCAGCGCCAATTACTGTAGACGCGGCGATGATGATCGCAGCGATGCTGGCGAGTGCTGACAGCGACGGCGGGGCGGCCAGCGACCGCGCCGATGCCGATCACGCCGACGACGATGATGGCGTCTTCGCGTCGGTGATGAAGGTTTCGGAAGGGCTTCGACATGCGCGCGCGGCAGACGCGCGAGAGTGGCTCACGCGGTATTATTTGCTGCGCGCAAGGGCGTTCGAACGATTTCGACATGCGCGCGCGATGCCCGTTTGGTTGCATTTTATGAAAATGTTGGAAACTCATGTTTTCTAAGAATTCGCAATGGCGCGCGCTTTTTTTCGAAAATCCGCGCCGCGAAACTTTGTTGCGTTTTTTTTGTTTCCGAACATTCGGTTTCGACATCCTTTCGAAACCGAAGGTTTTCGAATGGTCTCGGCATGCGCGCGCGACGACGCGCGCGCCCGCTTCCCCCCTCTCTCTCTCTCTCTCTCTCTCTCTCTCTCTCTCTCTTTTTTTTCTCTCTCTCTCTCTCTCTCTCTCTCTTGCTCTCTTTCTCTCTTTCTCTCTTTCTTTCTTTCCCTCTCTCTCTCACTCTCTCTCTCTCTCTCTCTCTCTCTCCCTCTCTTTGTGTTTCTCTCTCTCTCTCTCTCTTTCTCTCTCTCTCTCTTTCTCTCTATCTCTCTCTCTCTCTCTCACTCTCTCTCCCTCTCTCTCTCTCTCTCTCTCTCTCTCTCTCTCTCTCTCTCTCTCTCTCTCTCTCTCTCTCTCTCTCTCTCTCTCTCCCTCTCTCTCTCTCTCTCAATCTCAATCTCTCTCTCTCTCTCTCTCTCTCTCTCTCTCTCCCCCCCTCTCTCTCTCTCTCTCTCTCTCTCTCTCTCTCTCTCTCTCTCACTTCCTTTTCTTCGGCGGATTCTCGCGACGGCGCGCCCGCGAGTGCGTTCCGACGACATCGGCGCGCGCGACGCCTTTTTTTGTTGTTTTGTATTTTTTCTCTTCCTCTGAAGGCCTTAAGAAGCCGATGGTTTTGAACATGTTTTTGTTTGAGAAGCCGCTTTGGGAAGCCTTGTGGTTTCAGCTTTCTCTGGAAGCTCGAGTTTGAAATCCGCCCGGAACCGCGGGTTTTCAAAGGATTTCGGCATGCTCGCGCGACGGCGCGCGCGTGCACTTCGTCTCATTTTCTGCAAGGGATTCCTGAACACTTATGAGTTGTGTTCCACGAGCGTGCGCGCATATTTTTTTGCGGAGGGTGGCGAAGGGCGGGCGATGCCGGCCCCCTTTCTGGGATGGTGAACGTTCGCATTCAGGATGGACGATGGGGCTGAAACGCATGTCAACTGCAATGCGAATTGATGAATTTCGAACCCCGGGTGGAGAGCGTGGTAGAACCTATTGCCTGTTTAGAAAAGAGAATATATGTGGTTGTGGAATTCATGTGGAATTGTTCGACCTGCCGACTTTGAAGCTGTCGGCCCCAGTGCTCGCGCAATCATCCCACCCGTCCACCCGCAATTTGGTTTGCGAAACCCCTGTGGACGCGATTGTGATGAGTGCTTGGTGCTGGCTGGTGCATCCCCGTGTCCGCGCATGCTCGCGCGCGCAGCGGCCAGCTAGTTTGGCGCGACCGACGCGAGCGCGGCATCATGGCAACGTCGACAGTGGTAGACAGACACGATGATGATAGTCGCGGTGTTGGTGGTGATGTTGACAGCGACGACGGCGCGGCCAGTGACGGCGCCGATGCTGATCATGCCGGCGACGATGACGGCGTCTTCGCGTCGGCGATGAAGGTTTTGGAACGGGTTCGACATGCGCGCGCGCGCGGCCGACGCGCGAGAGTGGTTCGCACGGTATTATGCGCGGATCGTGCCTCCCCGCAGCACGCGCTCGGGTGTTCGAATGAGTTCGGCATGCGGCGCGAGAGGCCCGCTTGGCCGAATTCAATGAAAATGGTGAAAACCGATTGTTCCCCCGAAACATTCGCAAGAGCGCGGGCGCAGACTTTTTTGAAAACTGACGTTGCGGACCTATGTTTGTTTGTGTGGTTTCGCGACACTCGGTTTTGAATGCGCTACGGAATCTAAAGTTGTTGACGGGTCGGCATGCGCGCGCGACGACGCGCGCGTGGGCACTTCGTCTCATTTGTTGCAAAGACTTGTTGCGACAACGCGCGCAGAGGCGTTCGAACGATTTCGACATGCGTGCGCGAAGTTTATTGGTTTGGGAAGCCCTTGTTGCGAAATCGTCTTTACTCATGCTTTTTGGGCACTCGATTTTGCATATTTAAGAAGACGAAGGTTTTGAACGATTTCGGCTTGCACGCGTGTGTACGTCGTCCTTTTAGTTGCAAATGATTTTGGGTCATGGGTTGTTTTTGATGAACGAGTGTGCGCGCATAGGTATTTGTTTGCAGAGGATAACGGGGGTGGCCGATACCGATTCCTTTGGAATGGTACGAATTCATCTTCAGGATGGACGGGGGTGCAGAATCATATGCAAATTGCAAGACTGAAGTGGGGACCGATTGTCCCCTAATGGGGGGTAGAAATCTAGTCTCTTCTAAAAAGGCGCATCTATGTGGGGTAAGATATCCAGTGCAATCTATGTTGTGAGCGAGTGAGAAGCGCGCCGCAGGCGCGAACCATTTTTCGTGCGATCTACTGGGTGCAACCCAACGGTGGCGACGATGCGGCGAAGGGGCGGCGACGGAGTTGCGACGGCGGCTACATAGCTGCCCGACCGAAGCACGGCCCTGACGACAGGCGACGACAGGGCAACATCAGGGCGGCGACGGCGGCCACGTAGCCGCCAGACCGAAGACACGGCCCACATGCTCACACATCGAACCGCGCGTGCAGGGCCTCGACCCCGCCTGCTGCCGCCGTCGGTGGGAGCGGCGCGGCGCGAGGCTGCCCCCCGTGGGCGGCTGCGACGGGCCCAGGCCCGACGCACCGCCGCATGGGCGGCCTCGCGCCACGCCTGCGCGCAGCAGACAGGGTGGAGGGTGGGAGAAAGAACGCGCGCAAGGGAGGCACCCGCCGCGCGCGCGCGACGGCGCGCGCGCGGCGCCTCCTCCAAATTGCAAATCACCTGCGACGCGTACGCGCCGCGGGGGGCAGCGCCCCCCCCCCCGCGGCGACGCAACCCTGGCGCGCGACGGCACGATGGCCCGCACCTGCGCAGCGAGGCCGCGGTCGCGTCGCACTGCCGCGCGCGCGACCTACGCGGAACCGTGGCCGATTTGTGCCCGCCCACATCGGCGGACGTCTGCGTCTTCGAGCGCACCTGCCGCTGTGGGCTTACTACAACAGGAACAGAAATGCGTAAGTGCAAGCACTGTTTGAGGAAAGTAGATTTTGACGATTGGGGTTTCTGGGCTTCTCCAATGCTTCCAAGACGGCTAAAACAACAAAGCAAAAACAAAAAAACGCCCGAGAGGGTTCCAGGATGGTTTCTGGGGCCATTTGAAACCATGTTGGACGCATATCCCGAACAGCGCGTTCGCGGCCTCTCGAAAACTCATTCGGGGACCCCCTTAGAGCGCATGGTAGCGTCCGAACTCCAGGTTGCGGGTTTTTCCCCCTCAGAAAACTAGCAAAACCTAAAACAAATAAATCGAAGAGACTTGGGGGCACGCCAAGTCGTGCCTCAGGGCAAGGTGGCGGATTCGTTGCTTCCCTCCAGTCGATCGCCCGTCACAGTTGAACACCCCAAGAGGCTCGTTCGTTTCATTGGTGACGATCGATGGCATAAGCAAGATTTCGTCCATGATTTCTATCACCATGCAATTGAAACCCATACCCAGAAACACCTTGCTTGCCTCCAGGGTGCCCTGGGTTTCTTGATCCTAAGTTTCAATGGTTATGTTGTGGGAACCGTGACGCTCCCACAACAGAAAACAGTGGACGTCCTGAGTATCAGGGTTGGGTTTCTTGTGGAAGGTTTCCCGTGGTCGAGCTTCTATTGTATTTGCGTTGTTTAGGAGGCGACCAGAGCCTGGGTCGGGCCCCAGTGGCCCTGGGCGCCACGACGTCGGAGGCGTTGGGGTGAAAATGTCCTGCCCCGAAGGACGAGGACCCCGTCAGCGACCCGGCAGTGGACGCATCGTCCCGCGAGGCGCGCGCGAGCGCGCGTTTGGGGGCGGAGGGGGCGGAGGGGGGGGGGACACCCGGAGACCCAAAGTATTGAAGCAGTCAAGACGAAGGTGTTTCGCTGTTTTTTCGGCCCCTCCAGGCCCTCGGACCCTGGGGACCGTCGGAAAACGACGCAGGATGGAAGCCGGATCCCCGGGAGTGGGTCGAGATTTCTGGGGGCCCCGCATGGGAACAAAAATCAAGACATAGGGTGTTGGGGCATGGGTCTAAGTTGGAGTACGTTGGAAGCCCATGCCAAGAAACACCCTGCTTGCCTCCAGCCCTCGGATTCTTGGGCGTCAATGGTTTTGCGATGGACAGCGCAACGTTCCCGCACTGAAGATCAGAAAACGTCCTGGGGTCTCAGAGCCGAGTTTCTTGTGAAAGGTTTTTTGTGGTCGAGCTCCTACTGTGGTGGGTCTTGCGCAGAGCGTTCGGCGGCGAGAGATGCCATCGTGCTCATGATCTGTTCGTCAACTATGGCGCGCCATGGCGCGCAACTGCTGCAGGGGGGGGGGGGCGCGAACGATTGCACGGACGAGTATTGGCCTCTAAAGGTCCTTAGTTTTGACCACACCCGGGCAATCGGAGGTGAATAGGACTGGTCCTAAAACCTCCTCCTCTTCCTTCCCCCTTTTCCCCTCCTCCTCCTCCTCCTCTTCCTCCTCCTCCGCCTCCTCTTCCTCCTAGTACCACCACTGGTTGCTGCGTGTAGAAAGGCTGCACGACTGGGTCCGCGCGGAGTTATTCCTGCATCCAGCGAGCAGAGTATTGAGTCCAGGCGCTGACTACTGCGCGTACCATTGCACCTCTCCCCGCGGACCCGTCTGCGCCAGACCCACTGCTCTGGCTTAAAAGTGAGGAGGAAGGGGCGGAGAGAGGGGAGTGAGTGAGAGAGGGAGGGAGGGACAGGGACAGAGGGAGGGAGGGAGGAGGGAGGAGGAGGAGGGACGAGGTGGAGGGGGAGGAGGAGAAACTTGGCAGCATCCGACGGATACACTTGCCAATAGCTCGAAGCTCGAAGGAGGAGGACGAGATGGACAAACGAAGGCGCCTAGGCTTCGACCTGGACCCGCCCGCGCCGTCGGCGCCAGGAGCGGAGAGGAGCGTTAGGGATGAGGCGGTGGGGGAGGTGGAGTGCGGAGGAGATGGAAGGCGGCAGGATGAGGACCCAGACATGCGACGTCCTGATTTTTTGTTCAGTACGGCGTCCCCGGAAGTCCAGACCCTTTCCCCGGGGCCAGTGCTTCATCCTGAATCGTTTTTAAAGGTCCCAGGGCCCGGCGAGGGCCCCCAGGGGCCGAAAATAATAAAACATGTGCCGTGCTGATGTTTTCACGACGCGATCCTGTCTGGGGAAGGAGGGCGATGGAGAGGTGTTGGTTGGTTTCGCCCGCGGTCGGCTCTTGCCCGCCGCGGGTTCCCCCTCTTGCGGGTTTCGCCCGCGGCCGGCTCCGCCCGCCCGACCCACCCGTGACGGCCCGCCGGGCCGCCCGTGGGAGTGCCCCGCCCGGCCCACCCGTTGGGGCCCCGCTGGCCAGGCCGTTCGGGCTTCGCCCGCCCGAGCCCCAGACAGGATCGCGTCGTAACAAAAATCAGGACGGCAAGTCTGTCATTATTTTCGGCCCCGGGGGGGCCCTCGCCGGTCCCCGGGACCGTCAAAAAACATGCAGGATGACAAACCGGCCCCAGGGAAAGGGTCTGAGCGGCCCCCGGCGAAGCCGCCTCCCTGCGAGACTGGCCTATGCGAAGCCCGCCCTGGCGATGGCGACCGCCAGCGAACCCCGCCCTGGCGAGACCGACCTCGGCGAAGCCGACCGCAGGCGAAGCCGACTCACGCCGGAAGCCAGGGATCAGGAGAGCGGGAGGACGAGGGAAAGGAGGCTTGGGCAGGTGAGTGGGAGGAGGAGGTCCCTAGAGGCCTCTGGAGGGCCCGCAGGTTTCCGAAAACGGAAGAGAGGTCACAACATCAAGACAAGCAATCGCCTAATTTCGATCCTCGATCCCCGAGGAGGAGAAGAAGTGGACGAGCATTGGGTCAGATCGGATCGGATCCAGAAGCACCCATTGGGATCTGTACACGGCTGCAGACGACCGCAGATTTCAGAGTGAGGCAGCAAGGGATTCATCACTTACAAAGTGATGATCGTGGTCCTGTAGGAGGAGGAGGAGGAGGAGGAGGAGGAGGAGGAGGAGGAGGAGGAGAGGAGGAGAGGAGGAGTGGAGGAGGAGGGAGGAGGAGGAGGAGGAGGAGGAGGAGGAGGGAGGAGGAGGGGAGGGAGGAGGAGGGAGGAGGAGGGAGGGAGGAGGGGGGGAGGAGGGATTGGGGAGAGGGAGGAGGGAGGAGGGAGGAGGAGGAGAGGAAGAGGAGGAGGAGGAGGAGGAGGAGGAGCAGGAGGAGGAGGAGGAGGAAGAGGAGGAGGAGGAGGAGGAGGAGGTGTTAACATGCAAGCATGCGTATGACAGGGGAGGTATAGTAACCCCGCTGCCTTTGGCTCAAGTGTTCAACGGTCGAAGTTACATCGACCAGTTGCGCAGTTCGGGAGTATAAAGGTGACCCATCGTTATCATTGTCGCCAAGCTCCCGTGCAGAACCCTCCTCGGGGTTTTGCATGGTAGCGGAGCGCGGTTGCCATGGCGGCGGCAGCGGCAGCTGCGGCGAGGCCTGGACAAGGCGACCCGCCAGTTAATCTCAATGTGCCGGCAGACAGAGATGCTTGGGTCAACATGGATCCGAATCGATTCAACGACTTGTGCGAGCAGGCATACGTGAACGGGGACTTCAGTTACGTTCAAACTGCGCTACTCGCAAACCACTTTGGGCTCGCAACGTTCATCAACGAGCGAGTAGCACAGGACCGAAGGGAGGTATCGAACGCCGAAGCATTCCAAATGTTACAAAGTGCCCACAAGACTAACAGCATGCTGTTAGCGATCACGAAGAGAAATGCTGCGCTCGAAAGAGATGCTCGCAGATTGGTGGAAAGAGTCACCGAGTTGGAGACTAACAGTGAAGTACAAGAAAAGTTGATCGAAAGGTTCGGTCAAATCTCGGAAGCAATCAAAGGAGGAAGCGGAAACAAGCACGGGAGCAGTAAACCGATAAGCGAATATAAAGCGTTACAGGCGCTAAAGAATTTCAGTGGGGAAAGGGCGAAGTTCAGAGACTGGAACGACAAATTCTTGAACGCACTAGCCCAAGTGAAGCCGAGTTACCGACCGGCACTGAAAATGCTAAACAAAAAGCTGGAGACGCTTGACGGGGTTGTACCAGAAGAGGACGATGATGACATCATACGCATAATGAACGGTCGATTAACTGCAAGCGAGTACCTGAAGGCAAGTCAAGCCAAGCAAGCCGAGGACGACAACAAAGGTGAATATGAGTTTACCGAAGGAGACAAGACTCAGATGGAAGAAGACTTATGGTACATTCTGAACGAGAAACTTGAAGGTGCGGAGGCCAGAGGAAAATTAAAGGGACTGATGGATGGAGACGGGATCATGGCTTGGCAAAAGGTTTACAAATGGTATTCGGCAGTAACCGGAGCGACCTTATCATCAAAAATGACGCATGCCATGAATCCTGAGCCGCCCAAGAAGATCACCGACACCGTTACCCGACTTGAGGAGTGGAGCGCATTGGCAGAAAACCTTGAGAAATATGGCAAAGATTACTCGCTGCCTCTTCCTTTCAAAGTCACCGCGCTCAGGGCCATAATGGTACACGCGAATGACTGGTTTGACGAATGGCAGCAGGCATGTTGGCGAACGCCTGACGCACTTAACATTGATTCATTTCAGAAATTGTACTCAAAGTGTGAAGACTGGGCGCGTAAAAAGAAACTTGACTCAGATACAAAAATAAGGATGCAATGGACATTGGAAATATCAACGAGATGAGTCAAGGGTCCGAAAACGTTTGGGACCAAACAGGATGGGTTGACGAAGATGGAAACTGGTGGTCAGAGGATGGATCGTGGAATCACGGGTCCTGGGCCAATGAAAGTGACGGGGGAGAATATGAAGAAATTGACGCCGTAAACAAAGGTAAGGGCAAATGGAATGGGCCCCAGGTGTTACAATTGTGGAGGCATGGGCCATTTAGCCAGGAACTGCACGAGGCCCAAGCAGTTCACCAAAGGAGGTAAAGGTGGCAAAGGCGGAAAAGGTAAGGGTTACCGAGCCACTTACGGATCCTATGTGAAAGGTAAGATCGGAGGCAAACAAGGAGGTAAAGGAAGTGGCTCATGGGGAGGAAGCTACGGAAGCCAAGGGAAATTTACCCCGCACAGTGAGCGTGAATGTTACAAGTGCGGCGGAAAAGGGCATATTGCCATTAACTGCCCGGGCTCCAAGAAGACCGCCAACGAGGTTGAGCAAGAAAAGCCTGCAGTAAACACCGAAACTGAACAAACCACCTCGTTCGGTCAACCACAGCACGTTCTCAGCGTCGAGATGAAGGAAGCAATGAACGTGTCGCTACGCCAGACTGCGATCGAGGAGGTTCACGAGAAATGGGACCTGCCCTATCACGCCAGAAAGAAGATGGCGCGTGACAACGCGGTAAACATGAGAAGGATCTATCAGGAACACCAGTACGACGGAGACCGTAACCATACTAGTCAGTGGGATCAAAGAATAAATAAAAGCGCGAGGCAGGAAAAAAGTTGGCTGGCGAAATGCAAGGAAATTTGACTAATCGAGATGCGTGGAGGTGATCCGGAGATTAACGCAGTACCGCCACCAAGTGCAACACATGAGACGATCGTGGTCACCGTGGACTCCGGCGCCTACAACACAGTGGGGCCCCCCAAGGTTGGCACTCATTTCCCCATTAAGCATGCGGACGCGTCAAAGCAGGGAAGACACTACAGTGCAGCAAATGGAACCACGATAAAGAATTATGGTCAACGCGTGATCACAGGTAAAAATGAGCATGGGAACGCAGTCAGTATGCCAATTCAGGTGGCAGAGGTCAACAA